GTTTAAATCCAAGTTAAACCAGAACATCTGGGGGGGGGGGTAGGAAAAAACAAGAGGAAACAGGCTACCTTGCATAATGACTTAGCCACTCCCAGTCTCTATTTAAGCCTCAATTAATAGTATCCAATTTGCAAATGAATTCCAATTCAGCAGTTTCTCGCTGGAGTCTGGATTTGAAGTTTTTTTGTTTTAAGATAGCGACCTTCATGTCTGTGATTGCGTGACCAGAGAGATTGAAGTGTTCTCCGACTGGTTTATGAATGTTATGATTCTTGACATCTGATTTGTGTCCATTTATTCTTTTACGTAGAGACTGTCCAGTTTGACCAATGTACATGGCAGAGGGGCATTGCTGGCACATGATGGCATATATCACATTGGTGGATGTGCAGGTGAACGAGCCTCTGATAGTGTGGCTGATGTTATTAGGCCCTGTGATGGTGTCCCCTGAATAGATATGTGGGCACAATTGGCAACGGGCTTTGTTGCAAGGATAAGTTCCTGGGTTAGTGGTTCTGTTGTGTGGTATGTGGTTGTTGGTGAGTATTTGCTTCAGGTTGCGGGGCTGTCTGTAGGCAAGGACTGGCCTGTCTCCCAAGACTTGTGAGAGTGTTGGGTCATCCTTTAGGATAGGTTGTAGATCCTTAATAATGCGTTGGAGGGGTTTTAGTTGGGGGCTGAAGGTGACCGCTAGTGGCGTTCTGTTATTTTCTTTGTTAGGCCTGTCCTGTAGTAGGTAACTTCTGGGAACTCTTCTGGCTCTATCAATCTGTTTCTTTACTTCTGCAGGTGGGTATTGTAGTTGTAAGAAAGCTTGACAGAGATCTTGTAGGTGTTTGTCTCTGTCTGAGGGGTTGGAGCAAATGCGGTTGTATCGCAGAGCTTGGCTGTAGACGATGGATCGTGTGGTGTGGTCAGGGTGAAAGCTGGAGGCATGCAGGTAGGAATAGCGGTCAGTAGGTTTCCGGTATAGGGTGGTGTTTATGTGGCCATTGTTTATTAGCACTGTAGTGTCCAGGAAGTGGATCTCTTGTGTGGACTGGACCAGGCTGAGGTTGGTGGTGGGATGGAAATTGTTGAAATCATGGTGGAATTCCTCAAGGGCTTCTTTTCCATGGGTCCAGATGATGAAGATGTCATCAATATAGCGCAAGTAGAGTAGGGGCTTTAGGGGACGAGAGCTGAGGAAGCGTTGTTCTAAATCAGCCATAAAAATGTTGGCATGCTGTGGGGCCATGCGGGTACCCATAGCAGTGCCGCTGATCTGAAGGTATACATTGTCCCCAAATGTGAAATAGTTATGGGTAAGGACAAAGTCACAAAGTTCAGCCACCAGGTTAGCCGTGACATTATCGGGGATAGTGTTCTTGACGGCTTGTAGTCCATCTTTGTGTGGAATGTTGGTGTAGAGGGCTTCTACATCCATAGTAGCCAGGATGGTGTTATCAGGAAGATCACCGATGGATTGAAGTTTCCTCAGGAAGTCAGTGGTGTCTCGAAGGTAGCTGGGAGTGCTGGTAGCGTAGGGCCTGAGGAGGGAGTCTACATAGCCAGACAATCCTGCTGTCAGGGTGCCAATGCCTGAGATGATGGGGCGCCCAGGATTTCCAGGTTTATGGATCTTGGGTAGTAGATAGAATATCCCAGGTCGGGATATTGTGCCCACATATCTATTCAGGGGACACCATCACAGGGCCTAATAACATCAGCCACACTATCAGAGGCTCGTTCACCTGCACATCCACCAATGTGATATATGCCATCATGTGCCAGCAATGCCCCTCTGCCATGTACATTGGTCAAACTGGACAGTCTCTACGTAAAAGAATAAATGGACACAAATCAGATGTCAAGAATTATAACATTCATAAACCAGTCGGAGAACACTTCAATCCCTCTGGTCACGCAATCACAGACATGAAGGTCGCTATCTTAAAACAAAAAAACTTCAAATCCAGACTCCAGCGAGAAACTGCTGAATTGGAATTCATTTGCAAATTGGATACTATTAATTTAGGCTTAAATAGAGACTGGGAGTGGCTAAGTCATTATGCAAGGTAGCCTGTTTCCTCTTGTTTTTCCTACCCCCCCCCCCCCAGATGTTCTGGTTTAACTTGGATTTAAACTTGGAGAGTGGTCAGTTTAGATGAGCTATTACCAGCAGGAGAGTGAGTTTGTGTGTGTATGGGGGTGGGGGGGATGTGAGAAAACCTGGATTTATGCAGGAAATAGCCCGACTTGATTATGTAAAGAGTTGTCACTTTGGATGGGCTAGCACCAGCAGGAGAGTGAATTTGTGTGGGGGGGTGGAGGGTGAGAAAACCTGGATTTGTGCTGGAAATGGCCCACCTGTTGATCACTTTAGATAAGCTATTACCAGCAGGACAGTGGGGTGGGAGGAGGTGTTGTTTTATATTCTCTGTGTATATATAAAGTCTGCTGCAGTTTCCACGGTATGAATCTGATGAAGTGAGCTGTAGCTCACGAAAGCTCATGCTCAAATAAATTGGTTAGTCTCTAAGGTGCCACAAGTACTCCTTTTCTTTTTGCGAATACAGACTAACACGGCTGTTACTCTGAAACCTGAAGAGGCAGGGAGAGGAGCTCTGCAGTGGGAAGTACTGGGGTGGTTTCATCATGAACCAAAACCTCCACATCCATCAATCACAGATACACAGTCCCACTCACTGTAGCATCTGAGTGCTTTACAGTCTTCAGAGTCATTATCCTCATAACACCCCTGGGAGGTAGAGCAGTGCTGCTATCCCTGTTTTACAGACTGGAAACTCAGAGGCCAAATCTATTCTTGAAAGTTTCAGTAAAACTCTCCTATGTAAATGCAAAAAAGTTATTTTGCCGGTATAGCTTATATTGAGTCATTGGACAAAATATAAGCTAAGCCAGCAAAAGCACTTTTATGCTAGTACAACTGCATCTACACTAGGACTTCTGATAGGACAAAAATGTCACAGAAAATCACAAACGTAACCAACATTGCTATGCTGGCAAAAGCTTGCAGTGTAGACCTGGCCTAAGTCATATAGTTTAAAACCCCTTTTTGGTTACTTTGTTACCGCCTATTTAACTGAAATGACTAATAAATATTTTGTGAAAGGACTTTGTTGTTAAACATTCAACACCCCAACTGTTACAATCATTCAGTGAAAGTGGAAGGTATACACATAGTTTTTCTACCAATTTAACTATTTTGGTTAGAGGTGTGATTTTACAGTGAAATAGCTAAATTGGTACAAACCCTAGTGTGGCACAGTTTTCCTGGCATAAAGGTGCTTATTACACTGGAATAGTTTATGAGAATTAGCACCTTTACACTGATACAATTGCATTCACCCTTTCAAGTTGTACAGCTGTAACTAAACCAGTATAATGACAGGTTTCAGAGTAGCAGCCGTGCTAGTCTGTATTCGCAAAAAAGAAAAGGAGTACTTGTGGCACCTTAGAGACTAACAAATTTATTTGAGCATAAGCTTTCGTGAGCTACAGCATACTTCATCGGATGCATTCAGTGGAAAATACAGTGGGGAAATTTATATACATAGAGAACATGAAAGAATGGGTGTAACCATACACACCGTAAGGAGAGTGATCACTTAAGGTGAGCTATTACCAGCAGGAGAGCGGGGGGCGGGGGAGGAGGGGACCTTTTGTAGTGATAATCAAGGTGGGCCATTTCCAGCAGTTGACAAGAACATCTGAGGAACAGTGGGACACAAATCAGACGTCAAGAATTATAATATTCAAAAACCAGTTGGAGAACACTTCAATCTCTTTGGTCACTCGATTACAGACCTAAAAGTTGCAATTCTTCAACAAAAAAGCTTCAGAAACAGACTCCAACGAGCGTCTGCTGAATTGGAATTAATTTGCAAACTGGATATAATTAACTTAGGCTTGAATAGAGACTGGGAGTGGATGGGTCATTACACAAAGTAAAACTATTTCCCCATGTTTATCCCCCCCCCAACCCCCCACTGTTCCTCAGACATTCTTGTCAACTGCTGGAAATGGCCCACCTTGATTATCACTACAAAAGGTCCCCTCCTCCCCCGCCCCCCGCTCTCCTGCTGGTAATAGCTCACCTTAAGTGATCACTCTCCTTACGGTGTGTATGGTTACACCCATTCTTTCATGTTCTCTATGTATATAAATTTCCCCACTGTATTTTCCACTGAATGCATCCGATGAAGTATGCTGTAGCTCACGAAAGCTTATGCTCAAATAAATTTGTTAGTCTCTAAGGTGCCACAAGTACTCCTTTTCTTTTTTTGAAGTAGGGACGTGATTACTGTATCCAGTTCTGGTATCCACATTTTAAAAAAGATGTTGTAAACTTGGAGAGGGTACAGAAAAGAGCCACAAAAATTATTTGAGGACTGGAAAAAAAAAAAGCTTTACATGAGAGATTTAAGGAGCTCAATTTGTTTATCTTATTAAAAAGAAGATCAAAAAGTGACTTGATTATCGTATATGAGTATCTTCATGGCAAGACAATACCAGGTAGTAAAGAGCTATTTAGTCCAGTGGAGAAAGCAGAACAAGAATGAATGGCTGGAAGTTAAAGCCAGACAAAATCAAATTAGAAATAAGGCACAAATTTTTCATAGGGAGAGTGATTAACTATTGGAACAAACCAGCAAGGGAAGTGGTGGATTTTCTATCTCTTGATGTCTTTACATCAAGATTAGATGCCTTTCTAGAAGGTATTTTTCAGTTAAACACACATTATTGGGCTCAATATAAAGGTAACTGGGTGAAATTCTATGGCCCGTGTTAAATAGGATGTCAAACTAGATAATCTAATGGTGCCTTCTGACCTAAAAATCTATTAATATCCACTCCCATAGAGCATGCTCTGTGACAATGTATCCAGCTCAGACTGCATTCCCAGAGTGTAGCATGTGATTCCATGCCCCTCGTACTGCGTATTCACATATACCATGCTCCATGATACTTTAAATCCTTCACTCTTGTGCCAGTACCTTGTTGTCCAGTGCTGTGATCTCCTGCTGATTGGCTGTTGAGAGGAGAAAGCTACTCATCTGTCCTTTTAAGGGATCTTCAACTTCCACGTCAATGTCATAACACGCCGTCTTTTTCTGGTCATTGGGGTCAACACTATGGAGAAGATAACAACAGAACCTTGAATTCCACTCTAAGTGTTAGGCCCACTTGGGTCCAAGTTTTTAGCAGAATCTGCTGAGACTTCTTCCAGACCTAACTAGCAAGGAATGGGAATAACAGAGCTTCTTCTGTGGCACTCACAAACGCTACAGGTCCCAACATCTCCTAGTAGGAGGCACTGTAGGTAGCAGGGCAGGATGGGAGCTCCCAGCTACTCCAGTCTCTTCCCAGGAGTGCTGGCTTTGGGGAAAGCTCGGTATTCCAGCAGGATGTGTTGCAGGGGATAGTGAAAGGTACCTTTTTAGAAAGAACAGATCGTCCGGTGTTTAGGGTTCTAGCCGAGGACTAGTGAGACACAGATTCAACTCCCTGCTCCACTACTCACATCTTCTTTGACTTTGGGCAAAACACTTAGTCTTTCTGTACTTCAACTTCCCATCTGTAACATGGGGATAACAACATTTCCTAAGGGAAGGGAGGGGGTTATGAGGATAAATTCATGAAAGTTCATGAGGTATTAGAGTAATGGCATCTGTGGAAGTATCTCACATAAAAACAATCTATCAGGGTCCTGGTTTGGCAGAAAATGGAGGACTGGTTTGGTTGGAGGCTCATACTTCCTTTGTTGTGGGAAACCCAGGCAGTGCTGGGCTGGCCGGCACACTTACCTGATGATGTGGTTTATAACTATGGGGTCTGGAGGCAGCAGCAGGTTAGTGAGTCTCTGAGGAATTTCAGAAAATTTTAGCCGTGGACAGTCGAAGATCTAAACAAGGTGAAAGGTTTGTTAATATCCCTGGGAAAAAAAAATACCTTGCAATTGAACAGGAAGGTGAGAAATCAAGGGCTCAAAAGTCAGGTAATTCTGAAAGCTTATCTCTAGCTCTGCCCACCCCCGCCCGGGCATTCTTTATATTAACACTGCTTTCCTGATAAATTCCAAAGTCACTTACCAGTCTGGCTGGATGCTGGATGCTGATGGGGTGGGCAGCATCCCCGCTTTAGTCTAGCAGCCGTAGCAAACAGCTCATTATAATGTTAGAAGGCTAAGGTGTGACTAGATCAGTCTACAATTACCTACATATGGAACAAATATTTGATAATGGGCTGATTAATCAAGCAAAGATATAACAAGATCCAATAGGTGGAACTTGAAACTAGACAAATTAAGGCTGGAAATAAGGTGTACATTTTTAACAGTGGGGGTAATTAATCACTGGAACAATTTACCAAAGGTTGTGGTAGATTCTCCATCACTGGCAATTTTTTAATGAAAGATTAGATGTTTTTCTAAAAGACCCTGCATAGTTCAAACAGGAATTATTTAGGGTAAGTTCTATGGCCTGTGTTATGCAATGGGGTTCAAAAATAATTAGATTAGTTCATGGAGGAAAGGTCCATTAATGGCAATTAGTCAAGATGATCAGGGATGCAATTTCATGCTCTTGGTGCCCTAAACCTCTGACTGCCAGATGGTGCGACTGGACAACAAGGGATGGATCACTTGATAATTGCCCTGTTCTTTTCACTCTCTTTGAAACACATGGCATTGGCCACTGTCAGAAGACAGAATAGTGGCCTAGACAGACCATTGGTCTGACCCAGTATGGGCATTCTTATGTTCTTATTCTTATGTAGCAGGTCAGACTAAATGATCAGAGTGGTCCCTTCCGGCCTTAGAATCTATGTCAATATAGTTCAGGGATTCCCAAACTTAGCTCGCGGCTTGTTCAGGGTAAGCCCCTGGTGGGCCGCGAGATGCTTTATTTACCTGAGCGTCCACAGGTATGGCTGCTCCAGCTCCCAGTGAATCATAAAATCATAGAATATCAGGGTTGGAAGGGACCTTAGGAGGTCATCTAGTCCAACTCCCTGCTCAAAGCAGGACCGATCCCCAATTAAATCATCCCAGCCAGGGCTTTGTCAAGCCTGACCTTAAAAACTTCTAAGGAAGGAGATTCTACCACCTCCCTAGGTAATGCATTCCAGTGTTTCACCACCCTCCGAGTGAAAAAGTTTTTCCTACTATCCAACCTAAATCTCCCCCACTGCAACTTGAGACCATTACTCCTTGTTCTGTCATCTGCTACCACTGAGAACAGTCTAGATCCATCCTCTTTGGAACCCCCTTTCAGGTAGTTGAAAGCAGCTATCAAATCCCCGCTCATTCTTCTCTTCCATAAACTAAACATCCCCAGTTCCCTCAGCCTCTCCTCATAACTCATGTTATCAGTGGCCGCAGTTCGCCATTCCCAGCCAATGGGAGCTGTGGGAAGCAGCAGGAAGTGGTGGCCCAGCCTGCACCACTTCCTGCAGCTCCCATTGGCCGGGAACAGTGAACCGCAGCCACTGGGAGGTGCAAGCGGCCATACCTGTGGACGTTCAGGTAAACAAAGTGTCTCGCGGCCCGCCACGGGCTTACCCTGAACAAGCCATGAACCAAGTTTGGGAACTCCTGATATAGTCCATATAGTGAAATCCAGTCGATATAGAGTACTTGGACTTTCAGAAAGCCTTTGACATGGCCTTCACCAAAGCCTTTGATTACTGGGTCAGACCAATGGTCCATCTAAACCAGTATCCTAACTTTGGACAGTGCTTCAGAGGGAATGGACAGAACAGGACTGTGACACATGACAGAAAGGGTTAAGCATCTTGTAGGATAAATTACTCAAATTCAACCCTTAAAGGCATATGGGGAGATAATGTTTGTGTTTTTGTGCATTTACATATATATATTGGTAGTGGCCAACAATGTAATCAAATAGCCCCTGTCTATTCTGTATTCTGTTAATTCAGAGATCGAAAGGACATCTTAACATTTAAATGAATTGTAAACATAGGATATCACTGTATTCATCTCTCTTTGAAATGTACAGCACATTATCTATGAATGGTGGAAAAATAGGCAATTGCCTTATGTTAATCTGTGTGGATAATTACCGGCGATGCTTAGGAAATGGATCCACTTCAAAGTTCCCATGAGTGCCTATTGTTGGCTGAAGGACTCCGAGTTGCACAAGAAGGCCTGAAACTGTATAAAGATGTTTGGGTCCCAATCCTTTTTATCTCAGATCTGCTTGAGGCTTCACACAGTGGAAGCCTAAGCCATAAGGACTGAGATCCCAGTCCTGACTGGACTGCCCTAGATATAAACATTGGACTATAACCTATGAACTATTTCGAAAAGAACTCTTTGCATCTATAAAACTCATCATCTCTGCCATGAATCTGAATCTCAAGATTGTACTCAAGTCTGTATGTATACTGATCTTTTAACCATACTCTCTTTTCTTTTTAAATACATTTTAGTTTCTTTAATAAGAATTGGCTGTAAGCACGTATTTGGGTAAGATCTGGAAAAGTGATTAACCTGGGAAGTAATGAGTCCGATCCTTTAGGATTGGTAAAACTTTTTTATATGATGAATAAGATTTTCAGTAATCCTCATCATATTTGACTTGGGTATCTTGGGGAGGCCTGAGGCTGGGTTACTTTAAGGGAACTGTGTTGCTGGCTTCTGGGTAGCCAGTAAGGTATTGTAGAAGCTGTTTTGTGCTGGCTTGCTAAATCTAAGTATTGGAATATCCACCCGCTTTGGGGATTGTCTGACCCATTCTTTGCAGTTCACCCTAATTGAGTGACCACAGTTGGCTCCCCTGGGACTCCGGTCACAAGGACAATTTCAAGTGATCCATTTCCTGTCATCCAGTCCCAGCTTCTGGCAGTTGGAGATTTAGGGACACGCAGAGCACGGGGTTGCGTCCCTGACCATCTTGGCTAATAGCCATTGACGGACCTATTCTTTATGAACTTATCTAATTCTTTTTCCTAACCCAGTTATATTTTTGGCCTTCACAACGAGTTCCATGGGTTGACTGTGTATCGTGCACCTTTTGTCTGTTTTAAATCTGCTGCCTATTAATTTCATCAGGTGATCCCTAGTTCTTGTGTTAGATGAAAGGGTAAATAATACTTTCCTATTCACTTTCTCCATACCGTTTATGACTGTAAAAACCTCTGTCATATCCCTCCCTTAGTTGTCTCTTTTCTAAGATGAACAGTCTTAATCTTAGGTTTCAGAGGAACAGCCGTGTTAGTCTGTATTCGCAAAAAGAAAAGGAGTACTTGTGGCACCTTAGAGACTAACCAATTTATTTGAGCATGAGCTTTCGTGAGCTACAGCTCACTTCATCAGATGTTTACCGTGGAAACTGCAGCAGACTTTATATACACACAGAGAACATGAAACAATACCTCCTCCCACCCCACTGTCCTGCTGGTAATAGCTTATCTAAAGTGATCAACAGGTGGGCCATTTCCAGCACAAATCCAGGTTTTCTCACCCTCCACCCCCCACACAAATTCACTCTCCTGCTGGTGCTAGCCCATCCAAAGTGACAACTCTTTACATAATCAAGTCGGGCTATTTCCTGCATAGATCAAGGTTTTCTCACATCCCCCCCACCCCCATACACACACAAACTCACTCTCCTGCTGGTAATAGCTCATCTAAACTGACCACTCTCCAAGTTTAAATCCAAGTTAAACCTACAACTACAATACCCACCTGCAGAAGTAAAGAAACAGATTGATAGAGCCAGAAGAGTTCCCAGAAGTTACCTACTACAGGACAGGCCTAACAAAGAAAATAACAGAACGCCACTAGCGGTCACCTTCAGCCCCCAACTAAAACCCCTCCAACGCATTATTAAGGATCTACAACCTATCCTAAAGGATGACCCAACACTCTCACAAGTCTTGGGAGACAGGCCAGTCCTTGCCTACAGACAGCCCCGCAACCTGAAGCAAATACTCACCAACAACCACATACCACACAACAGAACCACTAACCCAGGAACTTATCCTTGCAACAAAGCCCGTTGCCAATTGTGCCCACATATCTATTCAGGGGACACCATCACAGGGCCTAATAACATCAGCCACACTATCAGAGGCTCGTTCACCTGCACATCCACCAATGTGATATATGCCATCATGTGCCAGCAATGCCCCTCTGCCATGTACATTGGTCAAACTGGACAGTCTCTACGTAAAAGAATAAATGGACACAAATCAGATGTCAAGAATCATAACATTCATAAACCAGTCGGAGAACACTTCAATCTCTCTGGTCACGCAATCACAGACATGAAGGTCGCTATCTTAAAACAAAAAAACTTCAAATCCAGACTCCAGCGAGAAACTGCTGAATTGGAATTCATTTGCAAATTGGATACTATTAATTTAGGCTTAAATAGAGACTGGGAGTGGCTAAGTCATTATGCAAGGTAGCCTGTTTCTTCTTGTTTTTTCCTACCCCCCCCCCAGATGTTCTGGTTTAACTTGGATTTAAACTTGGAGAGTGGTCAGTTTAGATGAGCTATTACCAGCAGGAGAGTGAGTTTGTGTGTGTATGGGGGTGGGGGGGATGTGAGAAAACCTTGATCTATGCAGGAAATAGCCCGACTTGATTATGTAAAGAGTTGTCACTTTGGATGGGCTAGCACCAGCAGGAGAGTGAATTTGTGGGGGGGGGGTGGAGGGTGAGAAAACCTGGATTTGTGCTGGAAATGGCCCACCTGTTGATCACTTTAGATAAGCTATTACCAGCAGGACAGTGGGGTGGGAGGAGGTATTGTTTCATATTCTCTGTGTGTATATGAAGTCTGCTGCAGTTTCCACGGTAAACATCTGATGAAGTGAGCTGTAGCTCACGAAAGCTCATGCTCAAATAAATTGGTTAGTCTCTAAGGTGCCACAAGTACTCCTTTTCTTTAGTCTTAACCTTTTTAATCTCTCCTCATATGGAAGCTGTTCCATACCCCTAATCATTTTTGTTGTGTTTCTCAGCACCTTTTCCAATTATAATATATCATTCTGGAGTCGAGGTATCCAGAACCGCACACAGTATTCAACTTGTGGGTGTACCATGGATTTATATAGAGGCATTATGATATTTTCTGTTTTATTATCTATCCCTTTCCTAATGACTCCTAACATTTGGTTAGCTCTTTTGACTGCTGCTTCACATTGTTTTCAGAAACTATTGATGCTGCTGCCAAGATCTCTTTCTTGAGTGGTAACAGCTAATTTAGACCCCACCATTTTGTATATATAGCTGAGATTATTTTTTCCAATCTGTATCACTTTGCATTTATCTACATTGAATTTAATCTGCCATAGTTCACAGCTCCCTGAATTCTGCCTTCTTCCTCCTCAGAAAGTGGAACCATAAGGGCCCCTATATTCAGCTGCTGCCCAACATGCCCATGGAGGGGGGTATATTAACATTTCCATCCATTATTATATATTATAATAACCAGAAACAGCAAGAGGTTTAAGAACTTTAAAAAACAGACAAAGGCCATTTAAGAACAGAAAACAATAGAGGATCTTTAAAAAGTAATGAATATGGTTTGGAATATTCCACTTATGCATGTTGCCACCTTGCAAACTACCTGATTAAATCACTGGATTCCATCACATCCTCTCTTCTATCATTTTTCACAATCACTTGTTCAATCTTGTTTTTAACTACCTTGTGTGCCCTTTGGAGCATGGACCATTTCTCCCATACACTAAAAGCTTCTAGAAGTTGTAATAATCAGTGGCTATTCAGCAAACTGAACTTTTACATTAAGGGCTTTGAAGAACTTTCTTCCTTCATAACAACCCCACCCACTAAAAGTATCTTCCCCTGGATTGTTAATCTGGTCTGTAGCCTTGGGATCCGCTCAGACTCTGCATGGAACCTAGATACCCAAATAGCCACAGTGGCAAAAAACATCAGCTTCCATCAGCAGCAGGCCAGATGATTTGTCTCATTCCATCACATTGTGATCCACCCTTTCGTAACTTCTCCGCTTAACTACTGCAATTCTCTATGTCCAGGAATGAAGCCCTATGGTTTTAGGAAGTTTCAACTAATCAGAATGCAGCAGCCCAGATGCTTAGTGACATCCTCAGCAGCACAGAGCACCCCCAACAGCACTTTTCTCTGCACTGAGTCCAATTCCAGGTGTCTACCTTGATATTCAAAGCTGTACATGGGACTGGCCCTGGCTCCCTGAGACACCCCTCTTTCATCATGACCCCAAATTCACATCACTGCTACCTTTCAACAAGACTCATGACTGTAAGAGACAGAACCATCCCAGGAACCAGACCAAAACTATGGAACTCACTGCCATATGAAATAAGAATGGCTGCCAATCCCACCTCTTCATTCACGCTGCTTTCCTGCAATAACACCTTCCTCAAACCAACACTACTGTGTTACCATAGTTTGGAACAAACCTTAAATCCCCTTGTTGCTAGCAAGAAAAGGAGGGAGGGAGACTGAGATAGATCAACGTTGTTATTCTTACTCTCACTTACATACGAAGATGATGGGTGCCAATACAAGAACCTGGATAGATTAAGGGCACTGATGGGTTAAGCTTTTTTCCTTAACAATGTCGCTACACTGAACATGCTACTACTGCTATCTTAAACAATGCCTCAGAAAGCCAGATAAAAAACATTACCTTGCAGGCAACCAGCTCCCAAATGTGCAGGCTCATGGGTTTGCATCTCATTTACACTAAGGCCACTGAACACTGCTCTGGCAATATAAAGGGGTCTTGGAGGGGGCAAAAAAGTAAACCTACAAGTGAATAGAAAAGGAGTACTTGCGGCACCTTAGAGACTAACCAATTTATTTGAGCATGAGCTTTCGTGAGCTACAGCTCACTTCATCGGATGCATACCGTGGAAACTGCAGCAGACTTTATATATACACAGAGAATATGAAACAATACCTCCTCCCACCCCACTGTCCTGCTGGTAATAGCTTATCAAGTTGCAGTGGGGGAGGTTTAGATTGGATATTAGGAAAAACTTTTTCACTAAGAGGGTGGTGAAACACTGGAATGCGTTACCTAGGGAGGTGGTAGAATCTCCTTCCTTAGAGGTTTTTAAGGTCAGGCTTGACAAAGCCCTGGCTGGGATGATTTAACTGGGATTTGGTCCTGCTTCGAGCAGGGGGTTGGACTAGATGACCTTCTGGGGTCCCTTCCAACCCTTATATTCTATGATTCTGTGATTCTATCTAAAGTGATCATCAGGTTGGGCCATTTCCAGCACAAATCCAGGTTTTCTCACCCTCCACCCCCCCACACAAATTCACTCTCCTGCTGGTGATAGCCCATCCAAAGTGACAACTCTTTACACAATGTGCATGACAATCAAGTTGGGCCATTTCCTGCACAAATCCAGGTTCTCTCACCCCCTCACCCTCCTCCCAAAAACCACACACACAAACTCACTATCCTGCTGGTAATAGCTCATCCAAAGTGACCATTCTCCCTACAATGTGCATGATAATCAAGGTGGGCCATTTCCAGCACAAATCCAGGTTTTCTCACATTCCCCCCACCCCCATACACACACAAACTCACTCTCCTGCTGGTAATAGCTCATCCAAACTGACGACTCTCCAAGTTTAAATCCAAGTTAAACCAGAACATCTGGGGGGTAGGAAAAAACAAGAGGAAATAGGCTACCTTGCATAATGACTTAGCCACTCCCAGTCTCTATTTAAGCCTAAATTAATAGTATCCAATTTGCAAATGAATTCCAATTCAGCAGTTTCTCGCTGGAGTCTGGATTTGAAGTTTTTTTGTTTTAAGATAGCGACCTTCATGTCTGTGATTGCGTGTATATATAAAGTCTGCTGCAGTTTCCACGGTATGCATCCGATGAAGTGAGCTGTAGCTCACGAAAGCTCATGCTCAAATAAATTGATTAGTCTCTAAGGTGCCACAAGTACTCCTTTTCTTTTTGCGAATACAGACTAACACGGCTGTTACTCTGAAACCTACAAGTGAATATAATTATTCACTTAAAGGTCCCTTTATACCTTAAGAGTGGTGTAAAGAGGTCAAAGTTTAAATGCTAATTATGTCCTCAGATCTTTAAAAATAAAGAACCAAATTAAGAAATTTATCTTTAGCCTTAGATCAAAGTACGAGGTAAAATTCTCAAAAGTGACCTAGGTACTTAGGAGGAAGTCCCACTGAGTTTCAATGGGATTCAGGCTTCAAGTACTCAAGTCACTTTTAAAAATGAGACTTAAGAGCTATTGGAAATTTTACCCAATATCTCTGAAAAAGGGTAAGTTCAAAGTGTCTAAACATTTAAGGTTTTGGGTTACAGAAATATTAAATTTCTAATTGGGATATAGTGGGACAAAGACAAATGTGCCTTTCATGTTCAAATAATTTTAAATAATAGCTGAAATAATTTTGTTCAAACTTTCAAAAAATAAAAAGTCCTCTTTGGGTTGAGTCACTTCAACTGGAAAAAGAATGATGGGCAACTCAAAATGGAGAGTTAGAAAGGAAGCTAAGAATAAAGCTTTAATTATCTTGTGCCCATTAAAATATTCATAATTTATTTCTCCCATAACTGAAAGATGAAATGATCTTTCCCTGAGGTGCTTACAAACTAAGTTAGACGTGATGTACATAGATAGAAACAAGGAGGGCAGGGGAATTGGAGTTAACACCCATAAGACAACATTACTCAGCCCTGGTCTACACTGGGGGCGGGGGGGAATTGATCTAAGTTATGCAACGTAGCTGAAGTTGACGTACTGAGATCGACTTACCGTGGTGTCTTCACCACGGTGAGTCAACTGCTGCTGCTCCCCCCTCGACTCTGCCTGCGCCTCTCACGGCACTGGAGTACAAGGAGTCGACGGGAGAGCGCTCGGGGGGTCGATTTATCGCATCTAGACTAGACGCAATAAATCGATCCTCGCTGGATCAATCGCTGCCCGCCAATCCGGTGGGCAGTGAAGACATACCCTGAACAAGAGTACTGCATGGTGTGATGGAGAGAAAAGGGTGAGGATTCTTTTTAATGCATGGCTTGGTTGGTTAATTTCACATGGGTGTCATAGCAGAAATGGGTCTTGAGGAGATAACTGTTCAAATCATTACATAGAGATCGCAAGTGAAATCTTACAAGTTACTGCAAATCTAGGAGAAAATTGCCCTTCAAGAGACATATGGCATGTCCTTCCACTTCTGCCAGACTGGAGGAGTCTGTGTATAACCAACCGGAAGAAGTACTGTGTAGATCGAACACTTGTCCCTTTCATCAACAGAAGTTGGACCAATAAAAAGCATTACCTCACTCACTTTGTCCCTATAATCAACCATTCAGAATTAGTAGGTTATATTGTAAGACTGGTATAAAATGGTAATTAGAAAAGCTTTGATTTATGAGTCAGAGCTGTACAAAGCAATTAATACAGAATACAGAAAAGCAAGAAAAATTCCTTCCAGCACTGCAAAGTAGAAGGAAGAACTACGTGGGTATGTGACTCTGGGGGCTTTGTCTACACTGCAAAATAAAGGTATGCAAAGAGTGTTTGTCTCATTGATGGTAGTGCCTGCTGACAGCCATGTGGAACTGAAGAAATTCAGAGAATTATAAAAGGAAACTTTTATTCAGTACCTCCTGCCCATTCAAGAAACAGCCAGGTGCTAGTCCCAAACTTTTAAGAGATCTTGCTATCAATAGGGAGTTACCTGCTGGAAGTATTTGTCACAGTTGATGTATTCCTTATCATGGGAGTCTTGCAGTTTGTTTGTTTTGATGTACTGCCAGAGGGCCTGGATAATTGCTGATCGGGTCTGAGTGTGTATTCCCAACAAACGGGCCAGTCGTGGGTCCAATTTAAACTGTGGAGGCTACAGCAGAGAGAGAGAGACAGAAACAGACAGACAGAAAGATGCACAGGGTTGAGGTGAGTTTTGTTTTTAATTTTTTAGTGAATTTGTTCCTTATAAAAGGTGGCAGACTCAAGTAATCAAGGCAGCAAAAGTGCAAGCTGCCCAAGAAGTGTGCCTCAACCCTGCCCTGGAAGAACAATATTTAAGGGTGAAAGGAAAGTTCAGTCCCTGTGGAACTCTTGGCCGATGTGTTGAGCTTACCAACAAGGGGACCAATCAGTACCAATTTTGATCATGGCTTTTGTTATGTGGGGACAAGAAACTGGACTGAGAACCACCAATATTAATTCATATAAGCAGGCCACTAAATAGACATCAGAGGGTAACAACTTTTCATCATTATTGATCCAGTCCAAATTTGAATCAGGGATCTACGATCTAGAAAGTCCCATTAGCAGTCATCTAAGATATCCAGCCTCCTAGCTAAAATGAGTTATAAATAGACCAGGGCAAACAACTGATTTTTTGATTCAGCGAGCAAACAAAAAAAAATTAGAATATTTGGCTCATTTTCAAAAATTTTCAGAATTTGTCAGCAAATTGAAAGTGTGTGTCTGTCCATCCCTTATAAACTTTAGTCTAGTGTTAGGGCATTTGTATAGGATCTGGGAGATCCACATTTGAATCCCCACTCTGAAACAGGAACTTGAATTCAACTCTCTCTGCCTTCTAGGTGAGCATCCCAACAACCAGACTAGAAGTTATTCTGTTCTCACCTCATGCCTGCTGATGCTTATACACTTTGTATAAATACTTAGATATTCTTTAGGGCAGAGACTTGAACTCAGCTCTCCTCCCTCCCGGGTGAGTGATCCAGCCACCAGGCTATAGGCTATGCATAAATACTTAAATATTCATTGGGTCGAAAAGAAAGAAAGAAAGAAAGAAAAGGAATGACTCTATGACCTGGTGATTAATACACTCATCTGAGAGGTAGGAGATATGGATTCAAATCCCTCCTCTGACTCAGGCAGAGAGAAATCTCAATATGCAAATATGCTTTGAATCGTTCCCTCTCATATCCAGACCCTGACACAGGCTACTCACATAATTTCCAGAGCCTCTGCACCCAAAGGTACAGCATGCCCGTTTGCCTGTTTTACCTTAAACCATAGCTCCTGTAAAGTACATAGCACTTGTGAGCACTTATAACAAAAGGTTTAAGAAAGAATAAAGATTTAACTAGAAACAAGAGTGGTGGAAAAAAACGGTTACTCACCTTCTCGTAACTGTTGTTCTTTGAGATGTGTTGTTCATGTCCATTCCAATCAGATGTGTGTGCGTGCACATTCACAATAGCTGGAAGATTTTTCCCCTAGCAGCAACCATAGGGTCGGCCCGGGCGCTCCCTGGAGTCGCACCTTCATGGCCTCCAATATAGAGGCCGACACTACACCCCCTCAGTTCCTTCTTGCCGACTACTCCGACAGAGGAGTAGGAGGGTGGGTATTGGAATGGACATGAACTACACAGCTCGAAGAACAAGTTACAAGAAGGTGAGTGTTGTCAGTAGCTACCGGTGTGGTGCTCTGGTCTTGTTCGATGATGATAACAGTCGGCTGCGTGCGAGTTCCCTCTGTGTGCTGCCCCAGCTCTGCACAGATAGCTAACACAGCAGACCCCGAGAGCACCCCCAAAAACCACAGACTCTTGTAAGGTACGACGGAACCCGAGCCAGGTTTATTGTCAAACAAAGCACAGTAATAGTTCCCTATAGACTCTACAGGGCATACTACGAATTTGTGCTCCCTGGCAATGGATACAGCTAAGTCAGTGGCAGGACACTCCACTGCCCCCTAGGCTGGACAAAGGTATGCACTCCTGAACTTACTTTTATACAGTGGCAGGACAGATTACTCATTATAGTTCAAACAAATCTATCCATCATGTTGTCTTTTTGACCCTGTGTTTAAGATGCACCTGCCTGTTCCTTGTTATGTCTCTGGAGCGTTCTGATGCCGTCTTGGCACAAGTTCCTCTCATTAGCACTTATGTGTGTGTGCACGTGCTTCTAACAACCTTTTCTTGCCAACTTCTGTGAGTGGGACCTGCCTCTGGCTCACAGCCCAGCTTTGTTTAACACTGCCTGGAAGTACTATGGTTCAGGCTTCAGGCCTCAGACTGGGCCTCTGATACAAGAGTTTATGTTTCAGGGCCTCCTCTTACTACAGTGAGTACCCGTTTTTTATTACCACTCACTCTCAAGCGCTTGTTCATGTCCAACCTGATTGCCTTCTATGATGAGATAACTGGCTCTGTGGATATGGGGAAAGTGGTGGATGAGATATACCTTGACTTTAGCAATGCTTTTGATACAGTCTCCCACAGTATTCTTGCCAGAAAGTTAAAGAAGTATGGACTGGATGAATGGAATATAACTACCTGAAAGGGGGTTCCAAAGGGGATGGATCTAGACTGTTCTCAGTGGTACCAGATGATAGAACAAGGAGTAATGGTCTCAAGTTACAGTGGGGGAAGTTTAGATTGGATATTAGGAAAAACTTTTTCACTAGGAGGGTGGTGAAGCACTGGAATGGGTTACCTAGGCAGGTGGTGGAATCTCCTTCCTTAGAGGTTTTTAAGGTCAGGCTTGACAAAGCCCTGGTTGGGATGATTTAGTTGGGGATTGGTCCTGCTTTGAGCAGGGGGTTGGACTAGATGACCTCCTGAGGTCCTTTCCAACCCTGATATTCTATGATAAGGTGGATAGAAAGCTGGCTAGATTGTTGGGCTCAACGGGCAGTGATCAACAGCTCGATGTCTAGTTGGCAGCCAGTATCAAGCGGAGTGCCCCAGGGATTGGTCCTGGGGCCGGTTTTGTTCAACATCTTTATTAATGATCTGGATGATGGGATGAATTGCACCCTCAGCAAGTTCGCAGATGACACTAAGATGGGGGGAGAGGTAGATACGCTGGAGGGTAGGGATAGGGTCCAGAGTGACCTAGACATATTGGAGGATTGGGCCAAAAGAAATCTGATGAGGTTCAACACAGACAAGTGCAGAGTCCTGCACTTAGGACGGAAGAATCCCATGCACCGCTACAGGCTGGGGACCGATTGGCTAAGCAGCAGTTCTGCAGAAAAGGACCTGGAGATTACAGTGGACAAGAAGCTGGATATGAGTCAGCAGTGTGCCCTTGTTGCCAAGAAAGTCAACAGCATATTGGGCTGTATCAGTAGGTGCATTGCCAGCAGATCGAGGGAAGTGATTATTCCCCTCTATTCAGCACTGGTGAGGCCACATCTGGAGTTTTGCCTCCAGTTTTGGTCCCCCCACTACAGAAGGGATGTGGACAAATTGAAGAGAGTCCAGCGGAGGGCAACAAAAATGATTAGGGGGCTGGGGCACATGACTTACAAAGAGAGGCTAAGGAAACTGGAGTTATTTAGTCTGCAGAAGAGAAGAGTGAGGGGAGATTTGATAGCAGCCTTCAACTACCTGAAGGGGAGTTCCAAAGAGGATGGAGCTCGGCTGTTCTCAGTGGTGGCAGATGACAGAACAAGTAGCAATGGTCTAGTGGGGGACGTCTAGGTTGGATATTAGGAAAAACTTTTTCACTCGGAGGGTGGTGAAGCACTGGAATGCATTACCTAGGGAGGTGGTGGAATCTCCTTCCTTAGAGGTTTTTAAGGCCCGGCTTGACAAAGCCCTGGCTGGGATGATTTAGTTGGGGATTGGTCCTGCTTTGAGCAGGGGATTGGACTAGATGACCTCCTGAGGTCTCTTCCAACCCTGATATTCTATGATTCTATGTCAATTCCAATAAGGAGACTCACAAATCCAAGTTCAGGAGGCAGGGTCGGAGTCGTCCACTGATTGGAGCACAGCTCGTCCGCAGGCCGCATCATCTCTGGCCTGTTGCGTAATTGCATAGTGTGTGGTAAAAGCGTGGATGGAGGACCACGTCATCACCCTGCAGATTTTCTGAGTGGGAACCTGAGCCACGAACGCTGTTGATGAAGCCTGAGCCATGGTGGAGCGTGCAGTGATCGGGGGTGTGGGAATCCCCGCCAGGCTGTAGCACTTGCGGATGCAGGATGTGATCCATGACGAAATGCATTGTGATGACATGGATAGGCCTTTCTATTCTGTCTGCCACCGCCACAAACAGCTGGACCAATTTTCTGAGCAGCTTCGTTCTCTCGATGTAGAAAGCTAGCACCCTGCGGACGTCTAGTGAGTGGAGTCTCTGCTCCCTGCCACTAGAATGCGGCTTAAGGTAGAACACCGGGAGAAAGATGTCCTGGTTAATGCGAAACTGTGATACCACCTTTGGGAGGAAAGCAGGAGGAGGTCTGAGCTGCACTTTATCCTTATAGAACACAGTATAAGGGGGTTCTTAGGTTAAGGCCTTGAGGGCGAAGGGGATGCCTGAGCACACCTCCTGAGGGTCGAGCCACCACAGGAGGGAGTCGAGGACCGGGTGAGGCAGGGTCACTATCCTGTCCAAGCTGTCCCTGGCCAGGCAGTACACTGACACAAGCCACGACTGAAGAGGTCGAAGCCTGAGTCTGGCATGCTGCACCATGTCCATACAGGCAGCCATGTGTCTGAGAAGCTTCACGCAGCTTCTTGCTGTGGTGGTGGGAAACTGTCTGAGACCTCAAATGATATCGGTCATGGCCTGAAACCTTGCTTACGAGTCCAATACTGGGTAAGCCCAATACTGCCCCTATAAATTCTATCCTCTGTACCAGGGACAGAGTTTAGATTTCGCTTTATTTAGAAAGAGATCCAGATTGTTGAAGGTGATTCTGATGAATCTGACCTGAGCTTCCACTTGGGTCTTGGAGCGGCCCTTGATCAGCCAGTCATCGAGGTACGGAAACACCTGTACTCAGTGCCTGCTCAGAAACGCAGTGACAACTGCCATGCACTTGGTGAAAACACGAGGTGCTGCTGACAGGCCGAATGGGAGGACTGGAAATTGGTAGTGGCTGTTGTTCACCATGAAC